TGAGCATATGGTCAATGCCATCAACACGTTCGCTTCTCACGGTAGCGGTTGGATTGTGGAGCACATTGAAAAGCTGGCTGTAAGTTTTGCAGCATTTTTTCCTATCCGTGCTGGCTCATACATTGACCTTCCCGATTCATTGAAACCGGTGAAACAGAGTTTCACCAACATTAAAACGAGAAACGATCAGAAGTGCTTTCTATACTGCTTTGTGGCCGCGTACCATGATCGATATTCAGAGACCACAACTGCTCTTTATCCTGCTGCCCAAAGCTACCAACATCGAAACAAACTGAAAAATTACAAGCTCTCTCAAGAATATGTTGTGAAAATTGAAGGCTGGTACGAGATGCCAATGGGACTATATGATATTGACCGATTTGAACAACTTATCAACTGTCAAGTCAATGTATTCCGGTGAGCATTGATTTTTTTTTTGACAAAACATTTGTTTAATCATGTATAACACATTAAGTTCATCTAGAAACCCGAGCACTCAATTGTTTGTTTTCATTAGGTACAAAGAAGGTGAATTGCTACCTTTGAGAGTTTCCAGCAAATACTCAAGTGATCTATGTGTTGACCTACTACTACTCAGCAACGGACAGACTCATCACTATGTGCTGATCACTGATTTGATGAGGGTTGTGGAATATGTGCGTGGAAAACTACACCGAAACCGAAACCAAATTTGCCGCAAATGCTTCCATACATGTTCATCCATCGATACACTACAAAGGCACCAGGAAATGTGCTACCAAGACGAGGGAGTGGTAATCACTATGCCAAAACCGGGAAAGGACACTCATCGTTTCAAAAAATTAACTGCCCGCTGGTATGTACCGAGAGTTATTTACTTTGACCTGGAATCGCTACTACTACCCGTATACGGACCGCAACCCGACCCCGAAAAATCTAGCACCCAAACACTAGAGATTCATCAACCATGCGGTTACGCTCTGGCCGTTGTTGAATTGGGGAAGCGTGAAGTTTTAAAGTTTGAACTGAAGAGAGGAGAAAATGTTATGAAGGAATTGATCGCCTCGCTCGAATCTTTGGCGAAACAAATATACCTCGAAAAACGAAAATATTACACGTTCACTGGCACACCAAGTTGCACGCGTGAAGAAGCGCACACTTGTTGGATATGTGAAACAGAATTTGCTGACAATGACCAAGTTGTACTTGATCACTGTCACTATACCAACAAGTTCTTGGGGTGGGCGCATAACGAATGCAATATCAATCGAAAAACGGCGAACTATATACCCGTAATAGCGCATAACTTGTCAAACTATGATCTGCATTTCATTATAAAAGCGCTCTCAAACAGTAAACCCGAAAACACTTACTCAGTGATCCCTTCCACTGAGGAAAAGTATATATCACTCACTATGTCGGTCTATATCAAATCATACACCGATAAAAACGGAAAACTCAAAAAAGTGTATGAAATCCTATAAATTCATGCTGTCCCCCCTTTCAAAACTTGTCGAATACTTGCCGGAAGAAAAATTTTTCCTACTGGAAAATTACTTTGAAGAACTTGGTTACTCATCAGAACAGATAGCATTGCTAAAACAAAAAGGTTTCTACCCGTATTCATACTTTAGTAGTTTTGAAAAGTTTCGAGAAACCCGACTGCCACCTAGAAAAATGTGGAGCAACACTTTACAGGGAGGGGAAATAAGTGTTTCGAAAAGTCAGTACAACCATGCCATTAAAGTTTTCGCCGAAATGAAATGCGCATCACTAGGCGAGTACCATGATGTATACCTAGCAACGGACGTACTACTACTCGCTTCAGTATTCGAAGCCTTTCGTGAAGTTTGTTACGAAACGTACGGATTAGATTGTGCATGCTACTTCACGGCTAGTAACCTCTCGGGCGATGCATTCTTAAAAGTCTGCAATGCAGACCTCAAGTTACTTACTGAAAGGGAGCATTTGAACATGGTTCAAAAAATGATACGGGGAGAGATGTCATCGATATATGCACGCCTTTTTTTTAAAGCCAACAACAAATACCTCGAAGACTACAATCCTGAAGAGCCCTCTAGCTATCTATTGAATATAGACGCTAACAATTTATACGGGGGTATTATGAAACACTGTCCGCTTCCCATCAAAGATTTCTCAATAGTTGAGGAAAGTCTCGAATATATTTTGCAAACCGACGATAAATCTGAGTGGGGATACATTTTGGAAGTGGATCTCAGTATACCTGAAGAACTTCAAGATTACTTTGCAGACTACCCGCTAGCCCCCTCAAGTGAAGTTATCGGCACGGTTAAACTAAGTAACGAGCAAATACAGATGTTAGGGGAGATGGGGGTCACGTCGCTACCAAAGGTACCAAAACTGGTTCAAACATTAGATCCAAAGGAAGGCTACGTTCTGCACTACCTTACATTAAAACTCTATATAGAACTAGGCTTAAGAGTTACCAAATTGATTAAGGTCTTAAAATTTCGTCAAGGTAGATGGATGGAGCCCTTTGTCGATTTAAACACTCAATTGAGAATGTCAGCGCGCAACAAATTTGAAGAGAACTTTTACAAGCTCATCGTAAATTCAGCATTCGGTAAAACTATGGAAACAAAACTAGGACGCAAAAAACTAGAAATTATTAGAAATGAAAGAGAATTGCTTCAAAAAACAGCTTTGAGCACGATGAAAAGCTTCCAGATAATCGACGAGGAAGTTGCTACTGTTTGTTTTGCTGTAACGAGTATTTTGTGGGACAAACCCATGATAATTGGTGCAAGTATTTTGGATTTGTCGAAAAGATTCATGTTTTACTTTCATTATCGGCAAATGAAAGCAAGCATGAACCTTGAACTGCTATACAGTGACACAGATTCGTTTATTTATGCGATAAAAACCGAAGACGTATACGCAGATCTGCAAAAACTGACCGATAGTTTCGATTTTTCCAACTACCCAAGCGATCACTTCTTATTCAGCAATGTGAATAAGAAGGTTGTATTGAAATTTAAGGACGAGGCGGCGGGAAAAATCATTGCAGAATTCATCGCGTTGAAACCAAAGCTCTACTGGTTGAAATATGCAGGTTAGTATTGAAAAAAAAGCACCTCTCCAAGCCCCTCCATTTCGTTACATTAAGGGTTCCCTTCATTGGGGTTTTGGATCTTGTTGGGACCAAATTAATAACTTTTGTTGATCCCTGTCAATTTAATTAGACATAACTAGCCCTGAAAGGCTCTGATTCTTCATCTAAAAACTTAAAATGAAGAACCATTCATCAATTAAAATGTTTTAAACAAATACTCACCACAAACACACTTTTGTAACTTTTGACGTGAACAAATTTAAAGTTTTGACATGGAATGATTTTTTGATAATGACACGATTTGGAATTTTTATGATTTGGAATGAATTAAGATATTTAAACTTTTTGGAATTGAAAAAATTGGAATGTTATTAGATATTGAGTCTTCAAAATATTCAAATTTGGGAACCGTTTTCGTTATTAATACTAGAACTGGGCTTGCGAATTTTTATGGGCTTACAAAGCTAAAATATGTTTATGGGCTAATCTTTGTTCTTCATTTAGATTCAACTAGCAAAAGGAGTGCAAAAGGAGTAGTACAACACTCCCAGCAGCAACTTACACACCAGAGGTTCAGGGAAACAATTACTGAGTGGAAAAACCCTTCGTATATACAACTACTCAAAAAAATCGAAAGCCCATACCAACATAACCATAGCGCAGAACCGAATTGCCCTTTCACCCTTCGATAGTAAGCGGTTCTTACTATTTGACGGGATAGCTACATTGCCCTTTGGACACAGGTCTACAGAAGAAAATGTGTTCTTCGAGGCCATTGCGGAAGAAAGCGAGTGGGCAAACTCGCAGTTGACAAATACCCCGACTTATAGCAGCGAAAACAGCGAAAGCTGGCAATCGCCGGAATTCCGGGTCCCAGATTGAGGCTTTCTTCAAGAAAGCTATACGGAGGAAGAGCTTCAAGAAGAAAGCGCAGCTAGCAGTTCAAGAGACCCTCCGCCTATCAATAATCCATTCATTCTAACAGAAGCGTCTGTTCGTTCTAGTCAGAAAAAAAGGAGAAAACTTGATAAAATTGATCAATAAAATTTTTCACTTGAAAATGTCGGCTAAATTGCCTTGTCACTTGGAATTACGGCTGTACATTTGTAAATATAAAACATTCAACAAACATTGTCTTAAGTTAAATAGACCGGCGCAAAAGAGACTGGTAATTGCAACTTACCCTTGAAGCAGGAGCGCAGGATTGCGTATTTAGTTTCCCAAAGTAAGCTAATAGTAAGGCTAAAAGAATCAAAATGGTGCAAGTCGAAAATAAGGGAGACTTGGAAATAAGTTTGAAAATAAAATAAGAAAGAGAAACGAACAATAGTTACCAAAATTTTTTAAAAGGAAATTTGAATGGTACTTTATGTAAACTCATATTTATATGAACGAAAAGGATTAGCTTTTAGATAAAAAGAAGCGAGAAAACCGCAGCCGGATATACCCATACTTATTTAGTGGTGGGAAAGTTTGGAAGGGATTAAATTTAACCACCGCGCGAAAATAAATACCAAAGTATTTTGTCTGTCGGGTGTCCTAAGAGAGGGGTCTTTTTATTTCGGGCAGGGTACTTTGAGGTCTTTAAAAAAGATGGGTCCTTTTGGACCCTACTTTTGGTAGGACCCCAAAGACCCCTACCGTCGAAAAGACCCCCCCCCCCCCTAAGGACACACGGCGGATTACAATACTACTAGTTTATTCCGACTTTGTACTCAATTTAAATGGGATTCTCTTTTACTTGCAAACTGCAGCTTCTCGACTTTGAAGGTGGAATACATGCGTCAAAAATCTTAGACAGAGGTCCTCTATAACATCTAAGTGATGGTAAGTGGACAGAACTCAAAAAATGATAGCATATTAACAAAGCTCATAAAAAGCTTTTAGTTTGCCGATTTGAATTATTATGGATATTTGTTATCACGCATTTAAAGTGATTAAATCGGGCTTCAGTTACATCCCCACAGTGCCTTCAGCTGAGCCACACGGGTTGGAGTTATAATGCTCTCTTTCGCCCCCAGCCCGATCAACTGACATCCATTAGGTGCCATGATCTCCGCTCTTTCGTTTTCTGGCAGCTCCGTTGCTGACGTCATCTGGCATCCCCAACCCTTGCTAAACAAAGTTTTTGTAGCCTCGTACGCAGCACAGAAAATTTTTAGTTTTTGCGCTGAATAAATATTTTGTTAAATATATGAAAAGATATATTTTTTTTTGAATTTTTTTATGACTTCAGTTTGTGTTAACCAACACTAACATTTCTGAAGGCGCCTTTGGAGCCAATTAAATGAAAAATTGAGGGGGTGGCGTGCGTCAAAAAACGACAAAAACTTTTGCCAAAAAATGCTAAGCAAAATATTTTGTCGTAAAAAAAGGGCAAAATACCGAAAATGAGCAAATTCCGAAAAAGGGTCAAAAAGAGCAACATTTAAGAGAAACTTGAAGGCGCCAAGACAACGGCTTCTTATTTTGTTCTTCTCAGATATAATTTATAAAGACAGAAGTTGGCCTAACAGTTTTTGGCTTGAATGCCTGAACACGGTTTTCGGGCTCAAAGAATTATTCAGGGTGTACATCAGAACTCTATTATACACCGTAATTAATTTATCAGCTTCATCCCAATGTTTCAGAACAATACATTTCAAATAGTCAAAACATCCAAACATGCACCAGGAGGGCATTGGATAATGGTTGCGAGAAAAAAAAACAAGTATATTCATAGTCATTCTCATCAAAACCAAATTTGGATGGATCCAATTGTTCAATCACGTCTCACAGCCGCTCATTTAGAACCTAAAAACCATCAAGCAACTCAGCAAATTTCAAATTTTTGTGGAATTTTCTGTACTAATTTTGCTAGGATGTTTTTTGATAAAATTAACCATTCCAAGAAGCCAGTTCCAACACTACTAAAAAGTATCAATTTTCTATGTAATTCCCAAATTTATAATTACATACTGTAAAAAATGTTCCGTATAAGTGTTCGGTACTGCGGTTGACCAAAAAAACTTTGAATCGGTAGTCGCCATAGACGTCAACGTGTTCATTTTAACACGATGCCTTTTTGTGAAGGAACGTAGTAATTGTGATTATGTGTCATCAACAAAACCATTATCGACAAAATTTGAGGAAACAAAAACGTATGAGTTTGAAAGATACCCGACGAGTAGTGTGGTTCCAATTGATCTCAGCAAGTACCGCATTCCAGTTGATAGAACGGGTATCTGACACAGATCAGATGATGTGGCTGTAAAAACTATGTGTAAGCTTTTGATTCGTACCGTTTTTTTGTTTTTCTATATTTTTTCCCGCATCAAGTTTTGTAGAAATGGTTTTATTTTGACTGTCAATTTTTTGAAATATTGACATTGACAGCGTCACTGATACTATCAATCCTCGGAAAAAAAAAACAGTTTTAATGAGGTATTTACACTGAAACCTGTAATTGAGTTGTTCCATGGTTTTTGGTTCTAAGTTCTTTTTCCGATCGTATATAGCAAAAACGATAGAAGCATCGACTACATTTTTAAAAAATTGTTGAGTACGACAATTTTGTAATTGCTACTTCCCACTGTCCCGACAAACTCTTTTTTTAAGTAGAAAAAAAGGAGAAAAAAGTCAAAAAAAACTATGAAAAAGACATTTTCTGATAACTGTTTTACGATAAAATTTAAAATAAAATGATACCGCAAATAGGAAACTTTTTCATTGTTCTTTTACTTAGAGTTTATGGCACTGATATTACTTTTAGTTTGGGATCGTTTTTGAAAGAATCAAACATTTTATTCCTTTTTAAAACTTTGGATTTTTTTGAGAAGATGAGGCCCGAAATTGATTCTTTTTTCAATGTTGAATAACTTATAATTGATGATACTGATGTTACCTTTTATTTGGGATAAATTCTATTAAATCAAAAGTAAAATTTTAGTTTGAAACTTTTATATTTTTTTGAGGAAAAGGAAGCCGAAATTGTTTTTTTTTCATTGTTCTATTTCGTAGATTTGATGATACTGATGTCACCTTTAAATTGGGATCATTTTTGCGAAAAATAAGAACATAACTTTTTGAAAAATGTAGATTTTTTGAAGAGTGGGGAACAAAACCATTTTTTTTCAATCTTCTAATTCTTAGAATTGATGATACTGGTTTAACTTTTAATTTGAGATAACATTTGAGAAAATAACATTTTTTGAGAAGATAAAGTCCAAAATTGTTACTTTTCTCAGTGTTCTTTCATTTAGAATTAATGGTACCGATATTACCAATTTTTTTAGAAAAAAACTTTGGATTTTTTGAGGGGTGGGTGGACAAAATTTTTCAATGTTCTTTTGCTTAGAATTGTTGGTACTAATGATACCCTTAATTTATCATTTCTGAAAACATCAAAAATTTTTGCCATGCAATCGCCAACGTTAGAATTTCTAAAGCTCATTCTGAACGTTGATTTTCGAAAGATTTCAAAAATTTCAAACGATTTTTCAGCTGAGACAAAAATACTCAGAAAGCGTTCTAGAATGATCTCGAAACTTTTTCGACCGATTGAATTACCAGAAGAAGACAATAAGAGAACTTTTTGATGACCAAAACGAAAATTCAAAACAGACATGAGCAACATAGTATTAAAAAATTTTCAAGTTGTTTAAATTATAAATGATTTTTTCAAATATTTGGTGAAATTTGTAGGCAAAGAAATTGGTTAGTCCGGACGTATTCAAGTTTCTTGTCAAGCGCAAAATCAACACATACTTAACAGTGTAATTTGAATTAAGCTTTTCAAGACGATTGGGAAAGTCGGAAATATAGATTTCAGTTTTGTGACCAAATTGAAACAAACGACTTATATGAGTACATGCATTTGTACCAGTGTCATGCAAATACGAGTTTGCGTTACAAACTCTGCATGGGCATTTCTACCAGCTGGAAATGAATGGTAGTAAACCCCTAGTGCAACGGGTCGGACGTATAATAAACATAATTTTACTCTCCCTCTCACCCCATCCCTGACTCACCCGCCCCGGGGGGGGGGGGGTTTAAGCTTGTTCTACTTACTACTCGCCGCGACTATTTTTTCGACGACCGGGACTAATTTTTTGACCATTGCGACCAAAATGCGGTATTTCCAGAGTTTGCCCGCGACTTCAAGCCCTGTCCAGACTATAGATTTTTGGTCGGGAAATTAACTTTTCGACAAAGTCGAAAAATATTGGTCGCGGACCTCGACCCGGGAACTCACGGGTTTTCTGCTGTCACAAAATATACCCCGACAATGAACTTCAGTTGAGGGTTGTAGACCACGATGAGAGAAGTGATTGGGGACCAGTCTGTCAAATCTAACTCACAGGGTACATACCAATCAGTGACTGCAGGTCCGAACTGGGAAAACACATTCGGAGTGGCGAACGTGGAGTACTCGATTGTTGTCAGTCCCCTCGACATCCCAAACATCCTCACGGTATGAATGCCCGAACTGTAGTCGCCATCCACAACGTTTGTCAGATTTTGATCCCAAATGGGGCCGACATAACTTAAACCAACACGCACAAAATAAATCATTTTCATAACAACTGAGTTTTTATAAATATGCATTAAAGAAAAACTAAAAAAAAAACAATCAGTTTTCTTTGTAAAAACTTGTTTTGTTTTTCGCGTGGTGCGGTGAGAAGAAAAAAAACTTATAAAACTAGTTAATTAGTTACATTCGGCTACAGTTTTCTCAAAACGAAAACCAAAAATTAAAAAAATGTCTTTTTTGTCATTTTTTTTTCCTTTTTCTGGTTTAAAAAAAAAATACTTTCCAGGCCAAGGAAGCGCTAAATGAAACTTCAAAAACAACTTTTTTCAAAAGCGGAATATTTTTTTTGGGCTAAAAGAGTAAACAGCAAAAATTTCAATCCGAGTTTTATTTATAATTTTTCAATAATATATATCAGTAGACCAATTCTAACTTTGCGTGGAAAAAATTTTAAAAAAATTAAAACAACCAAAGACATGGTTTTTGCCCAATTTTTAGAGCAAAAATGGTATTGATTTCGCTTTCTTTCCTCTTCTATTGCTAATATATTATGATCAAAGCATTCAGGATACAAATAAACCAAACATCAAACAACACAATAATTCATTAGATGATTTTCCAGAGAGAAACAAAAAATCAACCAAAATTTGAAAAACTTTGGTGTAAAATGCTGATATGAATTATCCGGACAAAACGAACAAATTTTGAAGTTTCAAACATGTTTTTCTCAAATTGGGTTAGGATTGGACAAAAAAACAAGAAAAAAAGTTGCTTTGAAATTCACCGGAATTATCATAATGCATCTATAAAGAAGTTGTAAGAATTATGCTAAAAATACTAAATCGATTGATAAGAAATTTATATCAAAGGAAGCAACTTATACAGACTAACAAAGTTCTAGAAAAGTTATGCTTTTATGAACAAAAAAATGACCGTTTTTGGCTATCAACCAAAAATATACTCTCTTATACAGACTTTAAACGTTTTATAGAACTTCATTGAGCTGTTTAAGAGGCTTCTTTTGTTATAACTTTCTCATCAATTAACTTGGTAGTTTCGGCGTATTTTTTGATCAATTAAGAGAAATTTGTGAAATTAAATGAAATTCAAAGCTTTATAGTATAACTAAATCAAAAGTTAAGATAATATATAGTGTAACTAGGCGCCATTAAGTGGGGAACGGGCGCCGAAAAAACGCAATTTTTGGTTGAATGTTTTTAAAAAGGACTGATTCAAAACGACATGCTTAGCGTGTTTTAGCCTGGGTACTGCAGGGACACTATCTGAACAAAATAGGGTCTGCATAGTTTTTCGGAGAGCTCGGAAAATAAATTGTTCAACCTAACAAAAGGTCGACGAAAATTTCAAACTTTTGTTTTCGAAAAAGCACCCCACTCCCCGAAAAAAAATTTCCACGTACGCCACAGGTCACAAACGTACTTATTTATTTAATTAGCACTAGTTGCCATCAACAGAGATTATTTGGGGCCTCTTTTGCAATGAAAAGTAGGGACCAAGTAAATAATCTAATATAAATTTAATCAGAAGGATAGTTCGTTGATTTAAATTTGAAAAAGACTGCCCGTATCAAGGCGAAGCACTGATTGTTCCGACGGCTTTTTAAACCTATAAAAAATTGTTCCCATCAAAAAACAAAATTCTAAAAAAAATTTTGAGATTTTTGAAAATGATCCTACCAAACGCAATGTGAAGTATCAAGTTAAATTTTATATCGAAGATAATATGATTTAATAAAAAATAATGAAGTAAAACAATATCATTTAACATAATATAAGATAATTTAGTTTTTATAAAATATTTTACAAAAATACATATTGTTTCGACCAAAAAAGTGCGTGTTTTCAAATTGAACTATTTCTAAGACAGATGAAATCTCCGCTAACGCATCAATACATATAATATATTGCGCGTCAATTTTTCCATATGGTCAAATTGGCAATCTTCAAACCCTCTTAACTTTACAACAAAAGATCACAGGTAATTTTTTTTTTGAAATTTGAGCTCAGAATAACAATACTTTCGACTTTTTAAAAAAAAAATGTCAAAATTTGCCAGTTGAAAAGTCAACTTTTTTCTAAAGAAAAAACACCCAAGCTCAAACGTTCCGTAACTTTCTCCGAAAGTTATCTGAAATTTTTTTAGACAAAGTTAAAATTATAAACATGTTGGCTGAATGATAAAATTTGCGTAATAGGAGAATGTGATTGTTCCTTTAGTTTGAGAGTAAAATTTTTTATATGGGCCAAAAGCTGTTTAACTCAAGACGTGCAAGGTTGGTTGTAGCACCTGAACCTCTACTTACAAAAGTTCTTTGACAGAACCCAAGAACAATTACACTTATTTAAAACCTGAAAAGCTGATTTCAACTGCCATCCACGTACTAATTACATATTTGCAAAACTTAATGCCGTGCAAACAAAAAAGTGATTGTAAAAAATCAAGCAATAAGTTTTTCAAGCAATCATTACGTTAGTCATTTACGTGCAGCAGAGCAATTGAAAAATGGCTTTAGGTGCCAATTTCTTTAGCAAAAATTCCGGCTAGAAAAATCAGGCAATTGTAAGGCTATTTTTTGTTCTGGCAATTTTCAAACCCACAAGAAAATTTTTGGAAATGTCTTTTCTGGAATTTGGCAATTCATGGGACTTGAACGACAAATACTCAGAATCAATCGGATCAATATATATATATATATATATATATATATATATATATATATATATATATATATATATAATTTAAATGCATCCTATGAGACTTATTTGTCTAGTATTCCTACAGAAACTAAGAAAACATTTTGATCCAAAAAGCCACAAGAAAAAAGTGTTTGCCTCCATGAAAAAAAAAAATCGAAGTCAGAAGGTAACTTGTGTTTAGGCTTGAATTTTGCCCAACAAAATACTGTAATAACTCTGATAAATTCTGATTTAATCATCATACGCAATTTTCGTTTGAGCGCCATCCAATTCGCACGAAACCTAATAAAAATTTTTGGGCTCAAAATTTTCTATGCGTATACTTTTTGCTATTTTACTATTTCTGCCTTGAAAACTTACTTGGATGAGATAGTTTCTTGCCAGCAGCTTGAACCACTGTGATCTGAAAGAGAATATAGCTTCAATTACTTTGTGGCATTAAGGGGTAGCGGTTTGCTACTTCCCATGTCTCACACCCGAGGAATTCAATCCAGAAGAACTCAACTTATCAGGCAGCAGTGCGCATAATTTTTGGTCGAAATCCTCGCAAAAAGGTCAAAATTGTTACTTTTCCATAAATTGGTTAAAATATTATACAAAAAGTCAAACCTTCTTGGTTAAAACGTTGAGTCGATTGATCCATGCAGAGTCTCGTTGGCTTCTCCTCAATTGCTGTGACGTAGGTCCCCTTTTTCACATTGCAAAACCGTCCAACCGTTGAACTTATAATTTCTAAAACGAATATATATATCTAATTTCTTGCGGCGGTTTGTGAATAGTTTATAATGAACAAGAACCTAGCAGCTTTTGAACGGTTTTTGAAAGCAGGATTTGAGCGGTTTAATAGATTTTGTTAAAGAAAAAAATCACTCAAACCGCTCAACCGTTCAAATCTTGCTGGAAAACCGCTCAAACCGTTCAAATTTTGAGCGGTTTTTTAGCGGGACCTCGACCCGGGTATTGGAAACAATGTGAGTGGATGCAAAAATCGCAGATTGAGTTCTGTTCAAAACTGACCGCACTGTTCGTCTCTCAAAGCTGTGCCATTGGGGAGAACACACTCGAAGTAGCCCAGTCTGTCAACACACCTGGCCATCCCACAGTCCACGCCCCCACACTCATTCCGGTCAGACTGCATCTTCAGATTGTACTCGAGGTCATTGCAGAGGTCACCATTGGAACCCCCCTTGGTGGCAACAAGGCAAGGGGTCTCTTCTCCTAGCAAAACAATTGTTTAGACTCTTATATCCAAAATCTTCAAAAAATCATGCAAACAGCAAAAGAAATCAAACGTTGACAAAGTTTTCAAAAATCGAGTTGGAAGGAGAAAGCTTAAAAGAGTTTTTCGACATTACATAGCTGTTTGGATGTCAGCGAAAATAAGTACCTTGCACCATTTGAGGATTTGTGTGAGGTGAAATGTCAGTCCCACAGAGGGTCTCCTGCTCACAAAAGACATAGACGAAGTTTTCAGATTGTGATCTCAAGCAGGAGTTGAAATAATGTCCGAAACTCAAAGTTCTACTGATGAGTTTGGCCGACCTGTAAGAAAGTTGGATTTTTGGGCAGGGCCAGACAAAAGTAGCCCCCAAAATTTGGAACAAAGACAGAAGAAGGAAAAGCTTAAACAATTTCGCAGTGGTCATAGCTGGTACTTGCTAAGAAACTGTCCAATATTTGCTTAAAACAACCGTTTAAATATCAAAAATTGAAAAGTAATTTTTATTTATTGCATAAAATAGATAAAGCCGCAAAATTGCAGGTGAAAATTAAATTGGAACAAAAAACGATGTGAATTAATCCAATTTACGGCCAGGTCAGAACTTATGTCAAAATAAAAACATCCATCTGAAAAAGAAAGTTGAAGCTTTCAAGAATGAACATTTGAAAGAGTTGTCGTAAACTGTTGATTGTCGTCATTCTGCAAGTTGAACTTTTGAAATGCTCGCTTGACCAATTACTTCATACAGCAGAAAGCTGCAAGCAACTCCGGCTTTGTGCTGTCTCATATATTTTTCGTTAATTTGAGATTTGTTCCAAGAGCTCAGAAAATAAAATTTGCTAGCAACTCAGTGAGCCAAGAAGATTGGTCTTTGCAGGAAAACAACTCTGAATGTTCCGACTGCTTTTTGACTTGTCTCGGTAGCTTTTTTGGTATACAAAAAGATACAATTTTACAATCACATGCTATATCATCTACTAGGCCTAATAGTTTAACTTTGTAACGGAGATAAGGAGATCGAATGGCTATCTCAAAAAGATTATGTATCAAATGGCATAATTCCCAAATGGCATAAAAAAGAAAAATTTCCCAAATGGCATAAAAATAAAAAAAACTTCTTAAATGGCATAAATTTCATGCAGCAGCTGCATTAGAAAAATCGAGAAAAACTTTTTCGTGAACCAGGTGGGAAAGTTAGTCAAATTGTCAATTCAAACGTTGATTGACATTTTATCTTGAAAAAATAGCAGATTTTATTATCAAAAGCGAAAAGCATAAGCTTGCTCTTACTAATAAGCTTCTTGTGGTCAGTTTTCATGACAAAATTGTCACTTTACATTTGCTAGGATGCAATGAATTCCAAAAGTTTTTCACATGTTTTCTTTCCTGTCAAAACGTTAGAAATAAAAAATTGATAGAAAACGTTTGAACTACAATGAAAACTTGAAATTTGTGCCATTTGGGACATTTTTTTTAATGCCATTTGCTAATTATGCCATTTGGGAAGTTACCCTCAAAAAGATTTTGATTGGCGTTTCTCGAAGACTAGTCAGCGTAAATAAATATTTTACGCTAGCTTATTGAATTTTATTGAAATTCAAAGCACGTCCAAATTAGACACAAAAATTGGACCCAAATGGCAGGTTTAAAACCTTCAGAAATCAATAAACTTGATTGCAGACTAACAAAAACTTTTTGAAACGTTTTGACGACATCAAAATCTTCATTGTTGCATTGAAAACTTTTGTTGAAAACTGTTGGTATGGGTTTTTTGTTTTTTCGAAAGCCAGAGCAAAAAATATAATTGCTGGCAAAACTTTGGTAAAGTAAATGGTCCAGATGCGAAACAACGGCATTGAGACGCAAAACGAGCACATCGCAGCGAAGTAGGTCAGTCTGAAATGAAGTCAAATGATATAAACTGACTACACAGAGAAAAACTGCGCACCCTTTGAGAGATCCGCTGCGTTTCGCAAAAAACGAATTATTGATATAAGCAAATTAAGGGTTTCACTCAACTTTATCAACTGGCCAAAATCAGACTTGCAGAATCCGCAACATTATAACTTTTATCTGATTTTCTCTGCTGTTTCGGTTTCCTCAAAAAACGGCTAAAACACTGGACCGCTAAAAATCATTCAAACAGTAGGCAAATTTATTGAAACCGCAGCAGTATTTGAGGAAACCGGAACATTGTTTTCTTGTTGAACTTATTTTACTCCAACAGAGCCAATCATCACAAACTTTTGGTTTCAACACAATTCACCTCGTTTTTTGAAATCATCCGGCGGCATTCAGCATATTCAAAACCTCGGAAAGCAACTTAATACAAACCATTGAATTCTCCCGCCGTTGCTAGTTTAACAAAATCTTTGTTATTTAAAGTCACTTCACATGAGCCTTTAAAAATTAATAGAAAACTTTTTAAGTTCTACTTGAATGCTATGAGAGATAAAATTTTTAGTCAATATAAACTGAAGATCTTTGTAAAGGTATAGGACTCTTTAGTAGAAATATTGTTCTCGATTTCCTTAACTTCAAATTGTTTCTTGTTGTTTATCGGATCTTACAGGTTCTACAACTGTCATAAGTAGTCTTGTCGATGTATCGAAAAGTTTTTTCATCTCATTGGGTTTGGTAGTATGTGCACAACTCAACCAGAAAATATTGAAAACCAAACTGATGTTTCTTCACAGCTTAATTGTGTCAAAGTAAAGTTAAATATATTTTAAATTACTAAAACCAATTAAGAAAGAAAATTAAATTATGATCTGAAGACAGTTTCATCAAAACAGAATTTCAAAAAATTCTTTCTTTCTCTGAATCTTTATCTATAGCAACCCTTTCTCACAACTAAAATTGAACAAATACTTAACAGTAAAAATTTTCAAATTAAGAACAACCTGTGTATCATTAGTAATATTATTATCACCGTATTACAAATCCAGTACATAATTGGCTGGGACATTTTCACGTTTTACATGATACACATTTTTTCTTACTGAGATTTCTTTTTACCAAATTCTGAACTTCCTCAAGTCAGTCACTGCCGATGAGATCCATTTGAAATTCGAGTTGTTGTTTGGGTACCAAGACTACTTTTAGAAGACCCACTTCTAGCTTGCTGGCTAACATTTCAAAAATATTTGCTTCGTTGAGAATGGATGAATTGGTCAATCAAAAGAAAAAACCTTTCAAATTCGACTTTTTTTCTTCAGATTGAAATAATTGTTTGCTATCTTGAAAAGGAGTTGCTATCTTGAAAAGGGTTGAATGAGCCGCTCTAACACCTTGACTGCGGGGTACAGTAGTGAATTAAGTTTGTACAATGTGGAAGTATTATGGTCTTTTTCAGGTTTGGGTAGGGGATCACTTCAGAGTTTTTCCACAATTGGGGGAAAAATTATCAAACAGCAAATAAGTCAAATAATCAGGTGCAAAAAGTCCGAGTTGTTTGAGAAGGACACTGAAAAGAGGTAACATACGTCATTAGGATTTCTCAACACTAAACTTTAAAGAGTCTGGTTAAGACTCAAAACTATAAAATCACCGTTTTCCCAGTGAATTCTATGCAAGTAAAGTGTCAACCAGTCTGAAGTGTTCTTCATGATTATAAAATAAAGTGAAACTGAATGGCAGTAAAAAAAAGACCGAGTTACTATAATTAAAAGTTTTAGTGACTAATTTTTTAACTGAAGAACTATTTTTATAGAAGCAAAATCTTTCCAAATCTAGCAAAAGTGATCTTTAACTGAAAGTTTTTATAATTGATAGAAAAATGATAGACAATTAAACAGAACAGCAAAAGTGTTCTTCATGATTATAAAATAAAATGAAACTGAATGGCAGTAAAAAAAAGACCGAGTTACTATAATTAAAAGTTTTAGTGACTAATTTTTTAACTGAAGAACTATTTTTATAGAAGCAAAATCTTTCCAAATCTAGCAAAAGTGATCTTTTACTGAAAGAAAAATGATAGACAATTAAACAGAACAGAAAGTATTACCACCCACAAACAAATATAAAGTATTCACACGTGATCATTTAAACTGTTGTTAAATTTCTATGGCAGCACGCAGCACGTTAGAGTATGTGGGATCAGCGTTATAAAGTTCGGAAACGAATCCCGCGGCATCGGAAAAAAATTGCTCTCAATTATAATATTTTAAAATCGCTCAATTGTTTCTGCTATAGACAATTTTTTCTTAAACATTATCTAGAAAAACCCATGCGGAAACTTCTGATTGTCAAAACTGTTTCCTTGCTGGGTGTTCTCTGTGTTTTTGTTTCTAGTAGGAAAGATTTCAGTTACCGTTCTACTTGTTTCTAGTAGGACGTTGCCTTCATTTATAAATCAATTGAATAGACAATTTTTAACTGAACAGAGACTTCCATATGGTTTGTATTTGCTGGTAACATCTAAACTGAAGTCATTACTACAGAAAACAAAAAGCAAAAAATACGCAGCTAGAAATTGTATCCGACAATAGTAAATTTCCAGATAGTTTTTTTGCGGTCAAATACAACTTATAAAAGATTTTCAAATACATTGAAAAAACGTTTTTCAGGTTTCTTTTAGTATTTTTCCCACAATTGCATGAAAGTAATCGAGCAGAAACCATATTTTCAGTTATTGATCCTGATGGCAGATTTTTAGATCGACCACAAAAAATTCATTGAAACAAAGCCAAACCTTTTGCTCTAACTCTTTCACAATCATCTTCATGAAATTGAACACAGTTCACAAGCTGAGGGTCACAACACTTCCAATTAAAAACAAGACAATCGTTTAGAATAAAAAACGAAATTGTAAAAAAAAGACAAGATCTTTGAAAAATAAAAAAAGTTTGTTTTTTAATAAGAATCTGCTTAGAATTGAAAGTTAAAAAAATTAGCATCAATAGAGAAGTCAATAAAAACTTATAAAATTCTATTACTCCAGTTCCCCTCAAAACAGGCACAAACGCAAAAAATTTTCCGCTCATCAATGAAAAGAATGAGGTCATTAGGGAGACATCTTGAATGCTTAGAAAAAAAAAACAAAAAAAGAAGAACAAATTAAAAAATAAATTAGACTAAAAAAAATTATTCAATCCCTTCAACCTCAAAACACACACAAAATTGTTTCTGCTCGTCGAAAGACGCAATCTGCGGCGAATAAGCCGACTTAATACAGGCCGAAACTTCTGAATTTGATTAAAAGCAAACATAAACTGAAACAAAGTTAAAAAGCTAAAGAATAAATTTCTTAAACACCCTCATCCTCCAATTATACACACAACAAAACTTCTTCGCTCATCAAACGACGCAATATGAAGCCAAGAAAACGATATAATTTGCCCGAACATATCAAACGAAAGAAAAAATTAAAAGAAAAAAAAAAACAAACAAAGAAATTTCAACAAATCGAGTTGGTAAATTACAACCAATATAATAAGAAAATTTCGAACTTGAGCAGGTATTCACAATTC